CGTAGCTGTGATCACGAACTCCAGATGTGGACAGATGAAAGCAAGTCGGAACCGGGGAGAATGTTGCGTTCGACAGTCCTCAGGAGTGGCCAGACAACAACTGCTGAGGGTGTGGCCCTCGATGGCAGGATAAAGATCACAGCAGTTCGTGGAACCGCACGTTAACATAATAAGCGCGGATACCAGCTAACACAATAAGAGTATGCACATGTGCGGCAGAGGAACAACGCCACGTGAGACACTGCGCTCAGCCCCACCTCCATCCGGCTCAGTCCGAATTTGCCACTGCAGCGGGAAGACTGTGAGAAAGTCCCCCTTACTGCAGTACTCTTGAGCCACGACAGTACGCCAATACGACTTACAAGTGGGATAACTTAGTCAGGCTAACGTGGTCCTATGACAACGTAATCTCTACCGTAACTTGCACTGATGACAGGTGCGAGTCCTTAAGGCCTGGTCCATGCGTGTAACATGCATAGGACGCGGGCCTCAAACCGAGTCAGTTACCACGCCCCTCTGCATCCTCAGTCCTACCCGACCCCTCGGGAGTGAGGTCGACGCCACCAAAGTATCCCACACTTAATTCCGGATCTCAGGAGATCGACCGTTGCTCCCTCAGACAAGAGCACAACGAAGGAACTATCATACACCATTACTACATAGTCTGCATATGAAAATATTATCTCTGTACAGTATTCAGGAAAGACGCAGCAGATGAACTCTGGGGTGTGGAGATACAAAGGTCAGTAAAAGGCAAGAAAGACTGTGCGAAGTTCAGCAGAGGGAATAGTCAAACGCCACGGCAAGCGCCAAATCAGCCCTGTCTCGTGCCATGGTGTTCATCAAGACCGATTTCCCTCCCCTGCCGGTTGGGGTGGCAGCAGCAGCAGCGGGAGGCAGCAGCTCGAGCAGAATCTCAACGCAGCGCACTTCTTTGAGCAGACCCCTCAGGTCGGAGGAGCAGAGGGAGCAGGCAATGTCTAGGAACCAGCGCAGAGAGGCACTGGGCATCGGCCTCTGCTGTTTCTCCTCCTCCTGCTGCTGCTGCTGTTGTTCGTCTTCAGATGACAGGGCACAGTTCCAGTCAGCGTTTGGGTGCGATTCGGCCAGAAAACGCTCAACTCCTGCTGAGTGCTCCCTGTGAAAGTCCCGCACAACCGTTGGCAGAAGGTGGACTTGGCATAACTGCATTCTGGACTTGCCACGGAGTTGAAAGTTAAGCGTGCTGATGGGCGCGTAGAGGGCGAACTTCTTCAGAATGTACAGCCAGTCCTGTGGAGGGCAAGAGAGGTAGAAGACAGATATGAAAATCTGTCATGAAGAGATTAGGGGACGGCCGTGTCGTGGACGGCAATTCCGACAGAAAACTGGAGCCTCCGGAGAAAAAAATTTGATAGAATAGCCTCAATCATTTCGCAATACTAGGAAGTGACAGCCAGTAGCTCAATGCACCGCTTAGATTCAAATTACGGACTGAATGATGTGGTTGTCAGGTAAGAAGCCCCTGTATACGCGCCATTCACCAGCTGTAGAATTACCGACGACCGTAGGTAGGAAGAGTGAAAAATAAATCCCGCTAAAGGAACTACTGAGAATCCTTAAATAGCATACAGATTTAACATAAATTGATGCATGGTTGGAGTACGCACCAACGTACTACGGGCGGGAATGGCGTTGAAAACCAAATAGAGGGTGACAACTAGGTCTGCAAGTAGAGGAAATATTTTAGGAGTTGAACCTGCCATATTTGACAAAAGGCGGAGGCGCTGAGCTAGTACTACCAATTGGAGGTGAAAATCAATCGGATCGACGGGCATAAGAGTGCCTCAAAACATTTGGTCTCGGAAGAGCTGGAATTCTCCAGATTTAAGTCGGCAAACTGGTTGAAAGATGTAAGATGGAAGGAACGTGACTTGGGTGCGTCTTTGCGCCTGATGACAACGCCCGCCGCTGTTTCACTAAGTGAACTCCGAAGGAATTGCTTGCGCGCAAACTAGTTTATAGCGAGGCTGACTTGCGAAGCATCCACCACACTCCCACGGCTACCATGATCCGGTGGCAAGACCGAAGGTGGGCTCGGAAGCGATGGCCGACAACTCAAAACAGACTGTCTGTGCGTGCCACACACGACTCGACTTCTTCCCAGCCTCCTGCAAAAGCAACATTCGACGAAAGTTGACTGCTTATGGACTTCTCCGTTAATTTTCGTTGTACTCATATATTCAAATATATATTTTAAAGAAAACGTGCGCAAAAATATCCTCCTTGTACTAATCTGGTAGCGATTGCGTCTTTGTTAAAGTTGACACCTAGGGATTGAGACTGGCTTTAAGAATCTCGTAAGTATAAGAGGTTTTGAGACTGTAGAATGTACATTGATGCAACATCGCACCTGGCTGTTCATTGCTCCTGTGAGCACTATGTGGTATCATTATAATCCCATAGTCAAGTGGTCCAAAATTAATCAAGAATGGGAAAAAAAACCTAAAACCGAATTTCACCCTTCCTTCAAGTACAAAATTTGAAGATGTAATCTGCTGCCGAATGGATGAAAAAACGGATATTTTTGGGCATGTTTTCTAGAAAGTATATTTGAATTTATGAGGGCTTAAAAAACCAGTGGAACAACTCATACTACATAGCTGGTCATTTTTTACCGGGTGTGGTTTCTGCAGGCGGCTGGAAACATGTGAATTCAAGAGCGACATGGCTCTTGGGATTATACTCGGCAATAATAAATATTACGATCCCACCAAAGTGATCCTTTCAAAGTGAAAAAAAGTATTTTAGAATTTTGACGAACAGTTCATGAGATAAGCCACGTGGTAGATGCGCTGGACAAATACGGGAGCTAGATCGCAGTTCGACAGGCGTTGCCAGGAATGTGCACCCACAACAAATGCCAACATTGGACTGTGGTCCGCCCAGCTGCCCGCTCACTCCGCGCCAATTGGGGTCCGTGAGGCATCCCGTTTTTGTTGCAGTATAAAATCCTGGTCAGGGATCAGGGAGGTGTGGTGGTACGTCTAGGTGCGGGTCTCCGCACCGCAGGCCACCTGCGCCCTCCACCGGCTCCGGCCTTGTGGAATCGTTCTTGACACGGGATCCAGGTGGGATGGGGGGGGGGGAGGGAGTGCGTAGATGCTGCGCAAGTCCACTATTACTATAAACTTGTTTACACGTAAGTCACCATCCATACTCTCACTCTACTGCAGAGTTACACGGTGAACATAGTCGAAATCGACAGCCGAACTGTCGTATGGTATCAATTTCGCGCTTATTATAAATATTCAGCTGTCTGCGGGCAACTGGAAACCGCATTTGGCGGAAATAAAATCCGTTCTCGAGTTTGACGTGTTATTGCGAACCACGCAGCGTGACTGGACACCGCTCTGCTGTCCAACATCAAAGAAGACCGACGTCCAGCAGTGGCGTGCCGGTCACATTCACCACCGCAGGCAGGTGCGACGGGAGACCCTTCATCCACCAGACCGCATCACGCAGCCTCCGTCCTTGAGGGGAAAATGCATAACACATAAGTAGTCGTTTTTGCCGGGCAGTTTTTGCAGGCGACCGGAAAGAAGTTCGAAAGCCGGCACCATGAAGCAACTGATTTATTATGCTGTTCGATGATTAATTTTACAACCCTACCTAGGTAATCTTTTCGAACCGAAAGCGTATTTTGGAATGTTTCATGGGTAAACACATCTGTAACAGGGTAACGGAGGGTGTGGTCATTTTATTTTGCCAAATGTGGTTCTTGCAGTCGGCTGGAATAAAGTGAATTTAAGAGAGGCGTGACTGAACTATCTTAGAATTATGCGGCGCAATAGTCAATATTATAGCTCCAACCAAGTGTTTCTTTCTAGTCAGAAACACACTTTGGAATTTTTGTGAACATTTCATAAGATTACACAGTAAGCGGGCAGCGTGGTAGCTGCGTTGGACCAAAACGGGGGCTAGGTCGGAGTTCGGAATCCTGAAATCATCTACAACTGAATGTTCTCAAGTTTTGGTTCTACATTTTCATGGAAATATTCTGTTGAATGTGTATATTACTGACAACATTTAAGTACCATGTTTATTTAGAGTGGTATATTGCTTGTACCGTTTACAATAGGGTTTTCAAAGGCATTGCCTATTACTGACCTATACTGACCTAAGTGTATGTTGTGAACCTGGGGTTTGAAGTGGTACGCCCAGGTGCGGGTTCACGCCGCGCCAGCCACCTGTAGCCTCTCCCACCTTCGGTTTTCTTCAGCACGTCAAGATACCGAGTCCAGGTGGGGAGGGGGTGAGTGCGATAGGTGCTGCGCAAGCCCGCCACCGTCATAAGATAATTCGCGCGCAAGTCACCGTCCCTGCTCTCAGCCTGCTGTGGAGCATACGGTGTCAAAATCGCCAATCGAACGGTCATATAGTACCAATTCCCCACTTATTATGAATAATAGGCTAAATGGTATTACCAACAAAGACAAGGGAGACTGGAATGGCCAGTTCTGGCTTACTATGCGTCGTCAGCCAGTCATACCCAACCCCGAAGTGTGGAACCCCCGAGGCTCGAACTCGCTCGAGGGAGAGTCCATAAGGCACAACGGAACGAGTGAGTTCCGTAAGAACGATCCGGCTGTCTGCGGCCGGTTTTCCAAACTTGACAGGCAACTGCGTTCTGCTGTCCACCGTCGAAAAACTGCCCCAGAGACGTCCACTACCGCGCACAGGTGCAACAGGAAACCCTTCATCCACCAGGCCGCATCACGCAGCCTCCGTCCTCGGCGAGCGACGGACAGTCGGAGGACTACGGTCCATACTGCGCTCCGGTTGCACCCAGAAGAGACACTAAATGTGCACACCCATTTGAAAGAGATTTGTTTGAGGTTTTTTTCCTCCTACTAACCTTTCTTGCAGTTGTCGGCGCACAATCGGCGTCAGAAGGTTCATCAAATAGGGCCTGGAGGAAGACCTTTGGCGTCAGGCCCTGGCTGCTGAGGATTAGCCTACGAACGCCAATCAGAAGGTCACACTGTTCCTCAGTGCAGGGCGCACCTCGCGAGTAGAAGGGTTTGAGAGCTGAGGCGAGTTCCAAGCGGCAGCAAGTTGAACACTGCTCACAGGTCCTGCTATCGCTCTCACCGGCCTCGTGGTTTCTCTCTTCGTTCGACTTTGAGGAGATGGCCCTGAGGGGCGCACTTATGCTGGATTTGATTTCATGCTGGAGGGGGGAGGGCAGGAGAGGCGAGAATAAGTATATGAGAAGTATTGCTGTCAGAGCAGGGAAGGGGAAAGACTGGGATGGCTGCTTCTGACTACTTTCAGACAGCGAACAAATGGAACGTTAAGGTGGCTCCGATTGGCCGATGCGCCGAATGTAGTAAAAGGTTCAAGCTCCGGCTGATGTGATCGGGAATAGGAGAACTCGCTTGCAAGCGTCGCCCGCCGATCTGGCCTGGTAACGGGGCGGAATGCACACACTCTGGTCTGCTCTGCAATTCCAACGTGGGCAGTCACAGAGACGGCAAGGGCAATTTTCAAAACAAGAAAGTGGCGATTCCAAAAGTTGACCTCCCGCTCCCGGTACTGCAAGCTCGGCTTAACCTCAACGGGGGTGCAACCCTGTTGGCCAGACTAGGTACAAATTATGTGGCTACTTAAATGGAGGATAGTAGCATGCTAAATTAACAAGTATTTAATTGACTATGAAATTGTGAAACCAAAACTCGACAGCCGCCCCGGGGAACTCGAAGGCACGATATCAAGGGCAAAGTTCACGTACAACTACCCACCCAACCAGCTCCAACGCATGAAATTCAATAATTCAGATGTAGTAGGCGGACTGCCCAAGCAGGTCTTCCTAAGCGGGCAATCTAAGATCCAAAACACGGGTAAAGGGAAAGTTGAGTTGATGACTGTTCTGGCAGACTGCCATGAGTTAAATGGCCACCCAACTGTGGTAACTCATAGAATGTTTACCGAAATTCTGAAATGCGTTTTCGACTCGGAACGATTCCTAGGAAAGGGTTGTAGTATCAATCACCGTGCAGTCTAATACCAGTGTAATTCAATTAATTCAGGATGCCGGTTTTTGAACAAGCTTCTTTCCGGCTACCTACAAAAATGACTACTTAAGTAGAATGGGCTTTTTCATTGATTTTCCATACCCTTATAAACTTGGATATATCTCATAGAAAACATGCATAAAAATATTCATTCTTTTACTCATTCGGCAGGAACTTGCGTCTTCTTGAGACTTTACACTTAAAGGAAGAGCATAATGCGTTTTAAAGAATTTTTCTAACTCCCGAACAATTTTCAACACAACCTGATGCCATACTTGCATTCGAGGCTTCCAAAATTACAAGTTGTATATTTTCCGTGGACGAAACCATGCATTGCTCTACGCTATTAAGGGGAGACAATATTAGGTTCGTAAAAGTTAGCAGTGGATTTGAGCCATATTGTAAATTTTACAAGCAACATTTGTTAATGTAGAGACACGACATTTTATGAACGGGAATTTCGCAGTCTTAAAAAGTCTCATAATTAGGAACTTTTTTAAAACTGAATCATACCCTTCTATCAAGCACAAAATTTAAAGAAAACGTAATTTCCTACCAAATGAGTAAAAGAATGAATATTTTGTGCATGTTTTCCCCCCAAATATATTCGAATTTTTAAGGACATCGAAAATCAATGAGAACAGTTAATGCTACTTAAGTAGTCATTCATCGCACAGTGTGGTTTTTGCATGCGTCCGGAAAGAAGTCCGTCCGGATGCCGACACCCCGAAGTAAATGCATTATTACGGGACTATTCTGCACGGTGATTAATATTATAGCCCTATTTAAGTAACCTCTTCGAGTCGAAGACGCATTTTATAATTTCGGCTAACATTTCATGAGTTAGCACATCTACTGTAACAAGGTAACACACAACACCTGTCATCGGAGCCCCAGAACTCGCTTAATGCACATGTGGCCCAGAGTCGGTTGGTGAACTCGGGAAACTAGAGTAGTAGTAGTAGTAGAATTGGTAGTAGTAGTTGTAGTAGTACTAGCAGTAGTGGTGGTATTGGTGGTGGTATTGATAGTGGTTCGGGCACGAGCACACACAACACCTATCACCCGGCTGGCCAACTCCAGAGCTCGCTTAACGCACATGTGACTCACATCCGGAGTTAGCGGACACCTATCACGGCGGGGGACTATAGTAGTTATTGCGGTGCACTTGCATTGAGTAGGCGGCATCCAAGAAACTGTGGATCTGCTTCTTTTATCCTCGAGGCCTCACGATGGAAAGTCTGTCTCGGTTGGATACAGATGTACACAAAGGCCGGTCGCGGTGAACGTGGCAGTGGTATTAATGGGAGTAGCATCAGGAGTGGCAATGGCAAGATTATTGGCAGTAATATTGTCGCTACTAGTATTATTATTAATGTAATGGTAGCAGCAGTAATGGCCGGTGTTAGCAGCAGCAGCAGCGGCAGTAGTAGTAGCAAGAGCAGTAATAGTTTTAGTAGTTGAAATAACGCCAACAGCGGTAGCAATAGTAGCAGTACTATTAGTAGTAGTAGCAGTTCAGCATATCTGACTAGAAGGCAGGCAATAGAATCGGAAACAGAGACTACCGTAGCAACAGATGCGTTTGATGCCTGCGTCTCGCCCCACCCAACGTCAAACCCGGACAAAAATTCAGACGAGCCCAGAAATTCGCCGGCGTCCTGAAGAAGCAGGAGATCGGCAAATGAAACTGGCTGGTTGATGGGGTCGCCCGTAGTCCGCGTAGTCGTCCGTGGCTGCAGCCGTGCACTGTGCTTCTCCTCCGCCCACTTCACCCAACGCGTCCACAGGAAGTCCGGCCTTTGGGGTGTTGTTCGACGCAGAAGGCTGCTTAGAAGACTTCGCTTTGCCGGATGATCGGCCAGGAACTCGGCAACGGCACTCCAGCGGTACTGAGAAAAAGAAGCAGCCATGCAGTAGTTGTGCGTGCGTGTGTGAAAAAAATCAGTTATATCAATATTCTACTTAAAAGGGTGCAATTTACGACTAAGGGTTTATATGGATATTATCCCAGCACACTAAAACGGATCGCGCGACAGATGCGCCGAACCAACACAGTGGACAGGCGTTATCGGCAATGTGCGCCAATGACAAATGCTAACAGTGGGGTGTATTGGCACGCCAACGTGCAGGCCCATAACGCGCCGACTGGGATCCGTACTACCCACCATTTTCTTGGTGTATAAAATCTTGGCTAAGTGTTTGTTATGGACAAAAGGATGCGGTGGTACGCCTAGGGGCGGGTTTTGACTTTGCGAACCACCTGCGCTCTCTCCCGCCTCCGGGCTTCTTCACTGTGTCTTGACACCGGGCCCAGGTGTGGGACAGGAGTGAGTGCGATAGATGCTGCGTAAGTCTACTATCACTATAAACCAATTCGCACGCAAGTCACCGTGCCCGCTTCACCCTGCTTCTACCCTGCTGTGGAGCACAGGGTGGACGTTGTCGGGTGTAAAAAAAGCTGTCTTGAACATGTAACGATTGGCAAAGTTGAGAGATCCGGGAAGATTATTTGAAGAACAAAAAAGGCTCTCCGGAACAGGTTTATTTAACTGCTGACGTTGGGCGCCCAGACGACGGCCAGATGAACAGCAACCCGAGGTCTGGAGGGCCATTCCCTACGCGAAAGGGGTCTCTGAAGCGGTCGCGCGACTGTTACAACCCACCAGAGTAGGCATAGCCCATTGACCCCAAGCAACAATTTGACGTCGCCTGATGCAACCCAAGGACCCATTGCCACCCGCTGAAACCTCAGCAGTCATTCACAAAATAACTTGTAATGAGGGCGACTGCAACTACGTGGGCGAAACTGGGTGGAAATTGCAAACTCGCCTACAAGAGCACAAATCGGCCACTCGGAGGTTTGACCCTAACTCTCAACTAGCAACACACGTTGGAGAAACTGGGCATACTTTTGACCTCCAGAGGGCTACCATCTTAGGCCGAGGCAACACAAAAGCAGAACGGCTAATTCTCGAGGCGTGGTTCTCCGATGCCCACTCTATCAACAGGCATCTGGACCTTCCCGCAGCTTACAAAGTCCTATGTCATTACAATCGTAGAGCTCAGGACCAAACAACCACGCCGGACTTAAGAAGGCCCTACGGAGATAGCCTGACGTTGAGTTTACGCGGTGAGGAAGAACAAGAACCGCCAGATCGACCGCCCGACAGAGGTTCGCTCAGCTCCCCTCGACGGAGTGGTGACTCACAAAGCACACCGGCAAAACGCCCCTCAACCATCTCCCGAGAGGCCGAGGCAGCGAGAGAAGAGAAAAATCGATCAGCATGAGGCCGAGCAACACAACACGCCACTTGACATTTCTGATCGAATAAGTGCATTTTACGCTTTGACAATGAAGAGCCGACCCAGCTCTTTGAAAAGTCAGCAGTTAAATAAACCTGTTCCGGAGAGCCTATTTTCTTCTTCAAATGAACCTGTAACCTTGTCGATTATTTGGGGTAATGAGTGCAGTTTCCAATTGAGCATTTATATGGATATAAAGTCCGTGATTTGCCAATGTTCTGCACCTACTGCAAGAATTTCGGCCAACCAGCGGGTCCGCCATATGTATTCGCTCATTGGCTTTCGGCATAAAGCAATTCCCGAAAGTTGATCTAGGATTGGTGAAAAGCTCGGCAATCTTGGTGGGATTCGAACCAATGACAGCAAGTGCTAGCACATCCAACGCCCTAACCACCTCAGCTACAAGGGCTCGAGCGGGATTCGTACATCTAAACAATAGGCGACATGATAATTAATATGACAACAATATGTAAGTAATCTTTTCAAATTTAAAACACATTTCAGAATTTCAGTCAGTATTTCATGAGATAGCATATATACCGTGAGTCAGGACAAGCTGTTACACTGTCTTTCATACTGAAATGAAGGCAACCCTCGGCATGGCTAAGTCCTGACTGTAACTCACCTACCTCGTAACAGTCGTCCAGTTTAAACAACATTCGCACGAGCACGACAATCACAGCCATGGCAAAGACTTCGCCGCGCACGTAGCGCTTCAGTGGAAGGAAGTAATGCAGACCCTGTCTTGAATTGTGCGCGGCCCGCTCGACGGCACGCCCTAGCCGGGAAATCAGGCTGTTGGCTATTTCGTGCACGGCCACTGGCAAGCCCAGTTCATTGAGGAAGCGGTGGACCATGTAGCACAGTGGGAGTCTAAATTCAAAGTAAACAGTTACTTAAACTGTGTGAGTAGGCACATGCAAAACCGAAGTAATTTCCTAACCTTGGTCGGTGGTGTATGCCCAACATGTGGATAAGTACAACCGTCACGCGCGCTAGACACTCAGCGCTGGGCAGACGCCTCCGTTGAAACAGTACGTCCAAGCCCTGATCGAAGATCGGGAAACCCCCGAGGAAATTGTCGATCTGCAGTTTGTTGGAAAATGACAACACATAGACCTTAGGCTACGAGATGCAAAAAGCAGAGAGCGCCAGAAAAGAAATAGGATGTTTTTCGAAACACAGTTTTAAAGACGACGGGTTTGATCAAGCGTAGCAACAGGCGATGTCGTAAAGTTTATGTCAGTGGAGAAACACAGAGTAAAACAGAAAAAAGCCGGTCATTGCAATGATTACATCGACTCAGACCCCTATACATATGTTGCTAATCGCCACTTCAGAACGAATCATCCGCCAAAAAATCCTTTTGTTGGCCCGAAGACAATCTCACCGAAAGTGCGTTTATGGTACTTCTTTGTTACGCTGAGACAGGCCAGATGTTGGAATACAGATTAATATTTATGAGTGGTTGTGATCATATCCAGAAGGCGGCCGATGATGCAGAGGCGTCATTGCAGTTACTGAGTAACAAGCCGCCACCTGAAAGGGCCCTTAAAAAGTCTGATCAGTGTCCGCACGATGACCTATGTCGGCTAGATGTAACAGGAACTGGAGTGGAGGCGGTTGTTGTGTCAGTCCTTACCGTCCAAGCCGGAAGGTATCTTATGATCTTCTTGCAAAGGCATCGAGTTGTCCAACATTGTAGCTGCAGACATAGAGAATTGATTTGAAACGGCCTTTTATGCCAAATTTTCGCCCCATGTATACAGAAATCGTAACGGAGACCCGTTGGCCAGTCTATCGGTTTGTCTAAGAGGGGGTCTGTTGACTGGAACTTGTGAACTTAGAGTAGTTTTCTTAAACTACTCAGCGGTGTGTCGATTTCACAATTTGCCACACTGGGGAAGTTTGGCAGGTGCTCGACGGTATCCGTGAGGGGAACATCGGTAAAGTAAGATGAAACATCAAACGAAAACATAGTTCAAAAGGCTAGAAAAAATGGAGTGTGGACAAAGGCAGAACAAATATGAACTAACCGCTAGGAAAGGAAACCTCTTTTCCGCACAAATACATTGTAAATCCCGGAGTGTAAGAAGGCCGCGTTTACAGGTCGGTTGCAGTGGGCTATCGGGGTCCAGGTTCGCCGCTGGCGGCGGCGGCGCCGGCGGTTTTGAAAAGGCGAGGAGGGAGGCCAGAAAGAGCAGGCTCAAATTGCACTCCATCAAGAGCCGATCACCGATATGGTCAACTTGGCCACGCCAAAAGACCTCTTCGCCTAGTGACTTCTTTGACCTAAGAATACCATCAGGTACTAAAAACAGACTACTCACATTTTGTCAATAATCAGTTCTGCCCAATATTGTTGAAGCGAGGCGAGGTCCGTGTCGATGCTGCAGAGGCTTAGCAGTTCGTCCGCTGGGGCAGGCGGGTCAAGCCTACCGTTGATACTGCGGCGAGCCGGCGTCACAGGCTTGCTCTTTACTGGGCTCTTCTCTTCCTTGCAGTCTTCATCTGATGAGTAAGAATTTTCATCTAATTCAGGCTGAGGCCTAAACATAACCGATCGACATGCAGTGGTTTAGAAAAGTTGATAGGGAAAAAAGGCAAAGCAGCAAGTTTCTTCGCAGCCAAGAGGTGCTTTCGACCTGCTTGAGAGCGGTCCCTATTTGATAAGCTCCAAAGCATCATGATGGAAGTCAAGGCAGGCATCTGAAGAGTAGGCTTAAAAAGAAATCATCATCACGTAGGGTCGGGACGGACAAGAAGGAACAAGCATCCACGATTGTGCATCAGTCAGTGGCAATGGGGTCAGAAGACAATCAGGGGAGACGCGCACACAGCCGTTTCAGGTTTATTGGGCATCACGAGGGTGGCCCGGCCTTCGGACCATTGGTGTTTCATCCTAAGCATGGTGCAATGTCAGTGTGTCAGGTGATGCAAAAGAGAAACTCAGCAAGGTTTAGTCGTTTTTTTTTCAAGGCGGTCAGATTCCTTAGTGCCAAAAAACACGAAATGGACCATCACAGGTGCGAGTGCATGAACGGCCGAAGTGCTAGTTCTAGGGGTTGCATGACGACTGGGCAGTCAATAATGCTGGGGTATGTGCGTACTTCTTACGTTACCATCTGATGACGCCGTTACCACAGTCTTACTAATAAGGAAGTGCAAAGTGGCTGCACTGAAAGAAACCGAGCAATTGGAACGGCTGGATAAGCGCAGCGTTGTCTGATAGTCAGGGAGTTGTTAATGTTCCCAACGAAAAGCAAGCAGTGAGATCCACATTCAGCCCGACATTCAGGAACGTTACGCGTTTTTTGAAGAGATACAGAGTGCGAAAAACTCGAGTGGCTCGGTGGGATTCGAACCCACAACAGCAAGGTGAGGCTTTAGTACAGCCAATTCTCTAACCATCTGAGCTACGAGGCCCCACCGGACGACGTGAGTTCAATCAAGTTTGGGTCAAGTTACCCGCCCAACCTACTGCAACGTCTGGAATCCACCAAATCTGATACAGTAGGCTGACTGTCTAAGCAGGGGTTCCTAAGTAATACATCTAGAATCCACCAGATGACTATCAGGCTCTCGTAATTCATAGGCGTTGGGTCGATATGAACAATTCAATATCTGTCAAAACATCTATGAATTACGTGAGCCTGGTAGTCATCTGGTGGATTCTATATGGATTACTTAGAGAATCCTGCTTGGGCAATCAACTTACTGTATCAGATTTGACAGATTCCAGACGTTGCAGTGGGTTGGGCGAGTAAACCTGACCCAAATGTGACTAAACTCGCAACGTCCGGTGGGGCCTCGTGGCTCAGGTGGCTAAAGAGTTGGCTGTACTAAAGCTCCCGCTTGCTGTCGTGGGTTCGAATCCCACAGAGGCATCGAGTTTTTCACAGTAAGGTCAAAATGAATTATTTTAAATCTTCCATAACACCTGTGAATTACCAAATAATAATAATAATAATAATAATAATAATAATAATAAGAAGAAGAAGAAGAAGAAGAAGAAGAAGAAGAAGAAGAAAAAGAAAGTGGAGTAAGGGAGCAGGAGGGGAAGAACGGGAACAAACAATGGAGGAAGAAGTGATTTCTTACAAAACGGGAAGCTATAAGGACAAAATAATGCGCATTCGTCCTACGAAATGTGGTTGAACTAAATTAGGAGGCAGCGGGGGGATACATGACTCAAATCGCTGGTATTTCACAGCTGCGACTCATATAGATGGATCTCGAGAACCAGCTACGCTGCAGCAAAAATAAACAGGCCCGCGGCATCCGCCAGATGGTTGGGCTACTCTTGGAATTACGCAGGTGAGGAAATTGAGGTAGACCGGACTGGGATCCATCACCTCGTTACATAACCTATCACCATGCGTTACCAGTCGTTGCCTGCGGGATTGCAAAGCGTTGGCTTCCTTCGGACTGGGCGTCAAGCCTTAATAAATCTTCTTTTACGACGTCCAATGCGCCTTTTAAAGTCGACCTTATCTGAGTGTGGGAGGCAGGGCGTGTGTGACACCTGCAGGCGTGAGGTTGCCATGTCAACCAGTGTCAAATAGTCTTGATTTTGTCCGCGGTGAAAGATATTAGGTGTGGGAGGAGAATCGTACAGATCTGAGAAGCAGAACTAACGTTAAACTCTACCGACTATCGCGAGGGCACAAAACCCTCAACCGCACCAAAAGCCATTTAAGGCAAGTCGAATACTTACTCTGGCTCAGGACCAAAGAGGTGAAAAGTCAGGCCAGCGGCCTCCGTGGGATTGTAAATCTGGCCCCAGCCAGCCCAGTGGAAGCCCTTCGTGTGGAATTGCATGTTCAGCCAAATAGAGTTAACCATGATCATGGCCAAGTCCGCAGCAATGGGCTGCGGACCGGCACATTCGTCGGCAGGTGGAGGATATGGACACGCCTGTTTCTTGCTCTCCGGCGGCTGGGGCTCTTTAGAGCGGCAGCTTTTGCTGGAGACCGAGGTGGAGATGAAAGACTCACGAGAGTGAAGAAGCTGACAACCGGCTGTTGAGACTTGACGAAAGGCCAGTGCCCAGGCCTTGGCGCCAAGTTCGCCTGTAATAGCAAGGTAATTGGTCCAGAGACACCAAGCGGTCTTGCGCAATAGCTCTCCATCCTGATCCCTCTCCTCCTCCTTCACCTTCCTGAAGTATGTCCGGATAATCTCATTTAGCTGGATTCTTAGTAGAGCCTAGGGTTACGAGGGAGGTAAGGTGAACAACTGGTATACTAAAAGTCATGTCTCGGGAACTTGACTTCAAGTTCTTCACCTGACAATTTGATAAATAATTAGCTCAGCATATATCAAAGACCTCACCGCAAACGTTTGTGGACCCCATGAGGAACTGAACCCGTGGCAGTTGCGTTAGACAGCGGCTGAACGCGTGTCTGGGCTTTCGGATGGCACCCATCCGAACTCATCGTAATATACAACTGCGCAAACTAGCAGCACTAAATGTCTGTAGAAGGCGTATTACGCAGAAGCTGGTCGTCTTCGACGCAAACGTTCATTGCAATTTCGGAGCTGATCCTGCAAAGTCATGTTTCGGGCACCTAACTCCAAAACCTTCGTCTAACAATTTGCAAAATTATTTGCAAAACAGGACAGTCCTCTTGACACCGCAAGACATCATGTTTCAAAAATTCCCAAACTCCGTCTTAGGAACCACCGTCAGTCCGACTATGAGTACTATTAACAGGTTAACAGAATCCACACTGGCTGCCCATTATCAGAAATACTTACTGAATTAGTCTTACAACGACTAGAAGACGCTGTTTTAAGTCTTAAGCTCAAAATGTGACATTGCTATGTGGATGACACCCTTGTTACCGAAAATAACTACGAAATTGGACGACTTTATCAGAAGTTTACTCGTGGAGAGGCAGGAGAAGACAGCCTGTCGTGGTGGTGGTGGTGGTGGTTTTACTTCGAGCGAAGGACCCCATCTCAAAAGGGGAACAATTGTATGTAACCTATCGTTTTTCAGAAACACCATGGCGTGCGGCTGGTTCTTCCAATTTATTCGAAAGTATGGTCAATACTCATTGATCGGCCTATGAGTTTACGACACCACTGGAAAGCAATGATACTTTCGCTCGGGTACTCCGTTTCTTAAGAGCAGACGGAATTGTAGCTAACCTATTGTTCCGAAATGGAGATCGTAAGGTTAAGTATCCTAAGTGTCACTTTTTAGTGTACAAATTAGGCGGAATTCCCAGTCTAAAGCAAGCATATATTGTCACGTCCCATTAAGATTTCTACAGGATGCGTTGTTGCATGAAAAATGCTAAACGGCGAAACACGTACAGTAAACGGTTCGCTAAGACGCCAACTGCGTTTGCTTTCTTTGCGTTTTGATGGTTTCGGCCGTTTGGCAGAAACGTGTTCCCCGTCCGCATTTTCCTCCTTCAGATCCTCATGTTTAGCCACATTGTCGTCGTCGGCTTGGGGAACATGGAGGAAGGAGTGGGGGGAGGTGGGGGGAGATTCGATCTTAAGGTGCTGTTGAGACTCCTGGAATAAGGGTTCCGGTTTAGTCACAACTTCTTGGTAGGAGAACTGAGATGCTGACGGAACGACACTGACACTGGATGCTTGGTGCACCATACGCAGACCACGCAGATTCACCAACTCATTTGGTTCCTAAAGGAGAGGGAAAGTTGAAAGAAGAAGGAGTTGTCCTAACCGAGATGGTTTCAAGGAGATGAAAGTGCACGTCCTTACCTGAGTTAGGCCTTCAAAGTACTCGGTAACCTGCCAACAAGAGGTGCATACGTACCGCCCAGAAGACTCATCAAGAATTAGGTTCTCGTCGCCGCAACCGTTACATCGCATTATTAGTATATGCCAAATAACGCTACAGAAAAGAAAGCAATTGGATAGAGTGGAGGTAGGTTTAATTAGATGGATGGGCTATGGAGCAGAAAGCAATCTAACTAACGTATAATGTCGATCGACCGGATTAGGAGGGCTATGGGCGCATAGCCTACTCAGTTCATGCTAAGTGAAGCTCAAATATTGACCGGCAACAACGGCAAGGTTAATATTTGGTCGCTTTGACGTGATCATCTACATATCTGCTACACATAACTGGGAGGACAGGGCGAATTAGACACGAAGTAGGAAAATAGAAGCTTTGTAGTTTGTGGAAAAAAAACTAACTGACAAAGGTAGGCCATTTCAAATTCCCCAGATAGTCAAACAGACACATTAACCCATGCAGACCGCCTATTTTCTATTCTAAACTCGTTGGCTTGAGAATGGTTTTTATCTGCGGTTTCGAACTTTCAAAAGCGCAACTCACGAATCGAGAAAAGTGCTCGGATTTCAGATGTCTACATAAGTAAGGAAAAACAAGACTGGTCGAGCTCAAATAAATAAACACATGGTTCTGGTGTCTACCAGCCTTATGCTTCCTTTTAGGGCGTGTAGTTTTCCGCGGACAACTTCTGTTATTAATTGGCAACATATCCGCAATCGAGCACGGCATGAATACATCAAGGCATATTCGATAGACAACCCCTGAACTACGATGCTGGGTAATTATAACCAACTAAGTCTTTTTACCGATCCTGCTACTTGTGTAAGCCGATGTAAACACTTTGGTAAATGTTAAGTGTCGAATGTAATTCGAGGATATATCCTCGAATTATCACCAATAGAAGATAATAATCTTTCATGAACATTAAACAAAACATTCAATTGAGGGAAGGCGCACCTATGGGATTTTCAGTTAGGCTTTATGGCAAACAAATAGCTGCCGAATGGACTTACTATTACATTGGCGCACAGCTTATGTAGAAAGCGCGGCGAGAAGAGACCACGCTGCAGCGCACAAATGGGCCATAATGGCTTACTGTGTCTAATTTTGTTCAAGTTGCGCGGTAATAAATGCATGGTTCAAGTTTGGGTTTTGAATTCCTCAGTGTTTGCAGTGTGGATCTCATTCATTTATATGGATAATTCAACGTTCAGTATGTTAACCAGATTCGTTCGCTGCGACCGGAACGATCAGAACAGAAACGTTGGAGAAGGCTCTTTGTATGAAAGTGGAGAAAGAATGACGAACTACAAGAGATCAACCCCAGTAGTCAGAAAATATTACTAACAAGGCAGGACATATATAAGAGTGGGGGGGGGGGGAGCGGAGCTGCAGAGGTAAGGGTTTATGGCCAATCAAGACACAACTAATAGTCATCTGACGCGGGAACGTTTAACTTAACGGAGTCATGATTCGTATTTATAAGTTACATTTCCAGGTATATCAGCCGTCAATTTCGTCAAAGATATACAATGAAGTGCCCGATAGAAATCGAAGTATAGGATGGCTTAAGGTCGGACAAGAAGCGAAGGGAGAAAATTTGTCCGTTAGCCTACCTGATGGCTACCCTGCCCGTCCACTGGTGGCGGATAGTGGGACGACCGTCAGTGAAGGTCGGCTGCGAACTAAGCAGACCCAGGTCTGACGAACAAGCAGTCGCGGACCAGCAACGACAGCGCTACCTGGGTTCGATGGGCTGAGGTCTGATGCGCTGAATGCCTTATAAAAAGCCGCAAAGCCCAATGACGGCATTATGACGTGGCGACCTTTAACCGCCATTAAATAAGTTTGCTTGACATTACTGCCTTGTGGTTAGGCTCCTAAGCAAAAGCGCTAGAGGATACAACCTCGAATAAGCAATCAGAGCGGCTGTTGGGGACCCCCCGTATTCGAAATTCCCAAGAAACCTCATGAAGTATGTCCGATTACAGTATTACGATCCATGCTACGACGTCCGTGGAAACCGACGAGCTCCGCAACCCTGATCCATTGATGTGGAAGAGTAGCATGCGAACTAGACTACTCAATCGGGGACGGACTCTTGGTATTGGATGTTGGAATGTGCGAAAGTTCCTGGACCCCGTTACCCAAAGTCTGACCGCACGCAGCCTCGATCAGTACAACGTGGATGTCTGCCATCTGAAGTTCGACTTCCTGACTCAGATTCCAGCGTAATAAAGACCCCGGGAGTCGAATCACACTTCACCCTGTACCACATGTACCCGCGCGACTCTTCCGGTCGACACGGTGTGGCGATCGCCCTATCGCAACAAGCGGACCTCACGCAACTTGCTTGGGAACCAGTCAATGACCGGATGGCCTACTTGCGACTGAAGGGTCTCTGTGTACACATCAACTTAGGCTGCCGAACAGCACGATAAAGAGGCGTTTTACTCGTAGTTGCAAGCGTTAGTTGAAGAACTGCCTTGCCGTAATTTGCTGATTGTTGCTGGCGATCTGACTGGTCGAACTGAACCTGGTCGCTTTGGAATTGGTTCCTCGTGTAAAAATGGTGAGAGATTGATGAATTTCGCTGATCAAAAACGACTGCTTGTCACCAACACATGTTTCCAGCGTCGCAAAAAATCTGCTGACCTGGTATTCAGACGACGGTCATACGGCCACTCAGACTGATTACATACTAGTCAGTTCAGGGTTCTGCAGCTGGGTTTGCGATAGCAGATCGATGCGTGGTGCCGAGACTGGTAACGCCCATGGGTCGGACCATGTTCTCGTTCGTACAAGCTTGAAAATTCATCTCTCATCCGCGCCAAAAATGCCACATCCTAGATGCTTCTATGTCGCAGAAATCCGGCAAGCCAGAACTGCGGAGGCCCTGAGCAGAGAAATCCGGATTTGTTTCACGACACGAGAGAACGGAGATGGCAGTACCCAGTGGTCGTCACTGCAGACATCAATCTATGGGGCAGCTGAGAAAAACCTTGGATACACCCAACGACGTTGCAGTGACTGGATTCAGTATCAGTATCAGTTTATTTCAGGGAAAGTAGGTGTGTACCTTTGAATTCTCCATTGGTTACATGCAGAGGAAGTATATGGAGAAAATGGAAGGGAAGTAACATGAAAAAATACAAGGGGAATAACAAAAACTGTACAGATTAACACATGCGTTAACAGCATCTATAGGCATATGAACTCGGCTTGTTGATCAAATGCAGCATATAGCTAAAGCACACCTAAGATACAGATAAAGAAGTTAACGATTTTTTAGTCTGCATGCATCGTGGTGAACGCGAGCAGCGGTGTGCGACGTTGTTCGAAGTTAATAAATTACATAAACTTGTGTTACTTGAATGTTGGAAGTAGCATCATCATAACAGTAAATTGTCAACGTTGGCTATCAAGGTTGCTGTAGTCCGGCGTTATTTTGTTGCGCGCTCCAATGTTGATGTAGCTTCCATTTAAAAGCGTCTACGGATCCCGACATAACAACATCCTCAGACAAAGCACTCCAAGCTGCTACCACTCTGTTGGAGAAGAAGAACTGTCGTGTGTCTAGCCGGGCACCCTTCACACGTAGTTTGGGTGGATTGCCCTACAGGTTAGTCGTAGTTGCCAACTCGAAGAAGTCTCCAGGTGCGAGGCAGCGGCCCTGATTGCGCACGATGCGGAAAGCTTGTATCAGGTTCCCACGTAACTGTCTGTAACTCAAAGGAAAGAGGTCCAGATAACGTTATCGTCTTTCGTACGGTAGTGACCACGGCCCAGATACAAGTGTCGTTGCTCGCCGTTGAACTTCTTCGAGTATGCCGACGTCTTTAGCGGTCCAGGGTCTCCATGCTTGGATAGCAAACTCCCGATGCGATCGCACGAAGTACGAAAGACTTTGGCGAAACAGTCTTCATCAAAGGAAGAGAACGCCCGTTTGACTAGGTACAGAATGGACGTCGCTGACTTGGCTACCTTTGAACATCGCAGCGAAGGCTTAAGCGAGGTTGTTATCCATACACCCAAGTTGTTCTGGGCGACGACTTCTTGCAGTGGTTTGCCAGTCAGACGGCAGACCGTGCGGTTAGGATAACTGGTTCCGCGGAAGCGTAGGAAGTTACACTTGTTTACGTTGAACGGTAAAGCCAGTCTTTTGACCATTGCTCGAGGTGGTCTAAATTTGTCTGCAGTCGCGCCTCGTCAACTTCGCTTCGTATGGTACTCCAAATCTTTGTGTCATCAGCAAACATTTCGACATCGCAATCCAGTTCGTTTGCGCAGTCGATGATGTATACGAGGAACAGTGTAGCGCCAAGAACAGAGCCTTGGGGAACATCACTCCTATCGGAAACCTCTGCAGATTGCTGGTCATTGAAGTGGGCGGCTTGAGAACAGCCGAAAAAAAGCTTCGAATCCACATCAGAAGCTTACTTCGCACTCCTGTCCGGCTGACATTGTGTAGAAGGCGGTGGTGAGGCACACTGTCGAAGGCCTTTTTAAAGTCGATATAGATACCATGCATCATAACTCCTTCCTCAACAGCCCGAGTCCAGTTTTCCATACAGCACAGCAAGTTTGTTACACAGGATCTGCCCTTTCGGAATGCATGATGGGAATCGGAGAGCATATGGTTTTGTTCAAGGAACTGCATTTATTGTTGCTTTGTTATTTTCTCCATAATCTTGCAGCAGATGGAGCTGAGACTGACAGGTCTGCAACTATTCGCAGAGACCCGACTTCCACCCTTGTACAGTGGTGTAATCCACGCCGACTTCAAGTCGGGTGGCAGATATCCGGTCTCGAAGGATGTATGGAAAAGCACTGACAGTGGTTTAGCCAAATCATCGGCGAATTCCTTCAAAATCTTCACCCGAATCTCATGGTGGCCTGGTGAGTTTGATTCCTATAGCCTCATCAACTCCGCCAGAACCATACCCTCAGTGAACGGAACGGTCTCCATAATTGTGATGTCATTGAAGTGTTGAAGGACCGAAGGGCTAAACCCTATTTCGCTACTAAAGAAAGACTGAAAAAAAATTTGAAAGGTGACCAGCTTTCGCTCTGTCTTCATTGAGATGTTCGCATCCAGCAACCTTTAGCAGTGGTATTGGGTTCTTTTTCGGCGTGCACAGCTTTATGTAGCCGTAGAACAATTTAGGGTTATCCGCGGTACGGTTAAACAGATCCTGTTCGAATTTCCTTCTAGTTTTGAGGATAAGGCCCTTGACTCGATTTCTGTGAACTTTATACTCACATATAGATGTGGGGCTCCTGTCAGAAAACGATTTTTTCCACAGCCTTCGTTTTTTATTCACTTCGTTCCTCAAGGCTTGTGTAAGCCATCGAGGTCTGTTAGTTGACCTCTTCCGTGAAAGTGGACAGTGGTTTGCAATCAGCATCTGTAGCATTTGTCGGAGCCGTTACCAGTCCTTGAGTATGCTTCCAACAAATACGGACCGCCACGCCATGCGTGGAATTTCAGCACTCACTTAATCGAAATTCCCGCGACAAAGGTTTCTTCTAACTGTCACGAGTTTCTCTGCCATGGGAAAAAGCGAGTTATCCCATAGAAGAACGACGTGGTCATTTTTACCTTAGGGGGGTAGACATGACACCTCATATATGCTGTCCTGTGATTTCCTAAGGACAAGATCAAGACAGTTGGTCAGTTGGCCTTCGCGTACTCTAGTTGGCAACATGACGTGTTGAGTGGGAAATAACTTCGGTGCCGTGTTCAGAAAACTCCCATCGAAGGTTTGTTCTGAGGTATTTGCATGGGTTGAGCTCCAGTCAGTATGAAGCGGGTTAAAGTCGCCAATGATCAGGATATCCGGCCGCGTAGCGATCTTTTCGACGTCCTCCAGTAGGCGAGCGTCGGCCATCTTTTCCCGTCTCGGCGTTCGATGAATTGTCAGGAAATCGAGGCTAGGCGAGCTCGGCACTCTAATGGACAGCCAGATTTCCTCGGAAGTATACGAAAAATTACCGGTTTTGCCTGATGCATGTACCCTATCTTCACATACGTGATTAATTATAATAATAATTTTTATTAAAGACCCGTCGGGGTCCCACCAAGGAAAGTAAAAATAAATGTACATGTGAATTTTAGACGAGGTAGGCAGAATCTGTACAAAATGCAATTCATAGTTTCTGAATTTGTAGTCTGTTGAGAAGGGTGGCTGGCGAGAGGTAACAAAACTCCACAAAAAAGTTTAAAAGTGATCGGATTAATTTTACAGGATTAAAAGACCCTCGCTAAAAAATAATGACAGAAAAATGCGGACAGGTCTGGCCTGCATGTGGCGACATGTAACGGATTATAATCGGACATCGTCAGGGCAGCAATAAATGTTGGCCTTCAAGGACAATTATGGGGGTAAGACAGGACTGGACTGCATGTAGCACTGTATACGGGATTCAGAACTGACATCGTCTGGGCCGGATTGATAAGCCGGATGAGAGAAGTCGCGCCAAAGAGACCAGACGAGAGGAACCCAGACGCGATCGGCCACAGTTCGCTTCGAGCACAGCCGAGGATTGGGGAAGAGAGGTACGACCAAACTACTAGTAGACGGCGAACACTGAGGGTTCCGACGTGAGCGTCGACAGACCGCATGAGGTCGAAATGAGGGAGCTGACATCAAGATCCGCGAAAATCGCGAAAATCGTCGCTATGGGGGAGGAGTGAAGGCAATGGATTTACAAACCAATTTAAAACAGGGTTTCTAATGATATAATTGAGAGTTTCCACTCGATCTACGACTAAATTCCAGGAGGACCCTTCTCGAAGTCAATAGGCTGAGTGTTCGGAAATTGGACCGTTAAAAGTGCCTTTATACTTTTCCGTGTAAGCTGTTTGCTTAATTACGACTTGAATACCAGTAACTTTGTCGGTGACCTAATTTCTAGTGAAAGATTATTTCAAAGGAATGCATATTTGGAAGCAAAAAAGAGGGAGCGCTTAGATGTAGTTCAAAGAGATGGCGGATCTCTCGGAGTGGGAGTGTCAATGTGCGGAAGATTGGTGCTAGAGTTGAAACAAAAAAGGAAGCAAAGGTCTGCTTCGAGTCTTCTAACCCACATAAACTTAATGTTCGGCAGCTAACATTTGTGAGTATAAGAAATACCAGACGAAGCTTAAGCGAACAATTTCCAGGTGAAAACCCTCTGAACATTTACGATCTTATGGCGGTCGCAGGCGTTCATCGAACCAAAGAAAGGGCAGCAGTATTCAAAGACTAGAAGAACAAACATTTGATAAAGTCTTAGATTCATTTCCGGAAGGAAAAAAATTATGCGATATGAATCCACATATCTGCGCGGCTTTGGCAGAAATTCTATCTGCATGAGGTGATAAAGCAAGCTTATTTGTGTAACTTAGACCTAGGTCCTTAATGGTGAGGCATTCTGAGAGCGGGTTATTCTGAAAAATTGTGGGACCAGGAAGTTTGGCAGGACCAAAAGACGTGAAACTACACTTGGATGATGAAAACTCCATCGGTCATGTTAAACGTCATCTGCTTAAGCGTGGTAAATCGGCATTAATTTTTTCAACACAAACATAAGCGATGTCCCTAGAATATGAGAAAACACACTTGAAATCATCGGCATAAATAAAAGTTTGCGAATTTCCGAGTTCAGTCGAAATATCATTGATATAAAAAAGGAAGAGTAGCGGACTCTGGACCGTGCCTTGAAGTACGTCACTCGTGATCAAGTGAGGTGTCGAGTAGCTATTACCGACCATGACTTTCTAATATCGGTTGGTTAGATAGGACCTGATGAAATCGAGTAGAGGCGGCCGGATGCCGAGAACTTCCAATTTTACTAGAAGACGTCTATGGGGCAACTAGTCAGAGGCTTTGCTAAGTTGAAAGTAGATAACTACCACTGACTGTTGCTCATTACGAAGAGAAGTGATCAGATTCAGGAATGCCAAGTGGCAAGTTTCGCAGGATTGTTCAGGTAAAAATCCATGCTGATTAGAGCTCAGAAGCCGATTAGTTAGACAGAAGTCAGGAATTTCATTGAAAATGATCCTTTCAAGAAGCTTTGCTAGAGACGGCGTTTTAAGCACGACTTGATAGTTATTAACATCGGACCGAGATCCAGACTCGAAGACGGGAATGATAATTGGCATTTTCCATGTCTCAGGAAAGGATCTTTTTGAAATCTAAACTGAGAATAAATGAGTAAGCAATATTGGATGGTCGGACGCTTGTTTAATAATCTAATTTGTAATCCCGTCCGTTCCTGAGCAGTGTGAGTATTTCAAACGACTTATGTTCCTAAATTAGATCTGAGCAGACATCTATTATACTCAATGTCCTATCGGAACGTGAGCGAAATTAAGGGACCGGTTATTAATAATAATAATTTTATTTAATGCCATTTTACAGGCATTGTCAGGGAAACGTTAAACACAAATCCGGCAAGCAGTGAAAAAAACTCCTGTGGGAAAGGAATAAAAATGTAGTTGACGGTTTTAATGGCGGTTTTAATCACAAACTACTACAATGGGCAACGGACAAACTTCTCTGCCAGAATGTTACCTTTGGAACACGGGTCAGGGAAGGGCAGCAGTCGAACTGCCTTGATCTTATTTTTACCCGAGAGGAGGAAAATGTGTTAGAACTGCAGGACCGACAGCCATTAGGGTCAAGCGACCACATCACACTCTACTTCGAGTACTCACTGTTTTCCAAATCCGTCCAACCCGAGAGGTGGGAGAGGAACATTTGGAAAGGTGACTATTCTCTCACGAGGAAGGAAGCGGCAGCTATATCATGGGAGACTGAACTGCATGGTCGAGCAAACGATAACTGGAATACTTTCAGTTCCTTACTGAAAGAGATTGTTTATTCCAATTGTCCTCTTAGAAGGAAGACAATCACAAACCGCCCAAAATGGATAAACCCCGACTTGAAGGCCTCTTTCAGAAAAAGGAATCGTCTGTGGAGGCGTTACAGACTAACTGGCTCCGACGAACACTTACAGTAATATAAGCGGCAACGAAACGTCTGTAAAAGTGAGGCCTCAAAGCTGCGAAAGAAGTTTGAACTAAACATACTCCGAAATTCGTTGGAGCATCCGAAAATTCTATATGGTTATATACGAAGTACTAAAAGAACTCAGGAGCTAATCCCTGCCCTCAGGTCTGCAGATGGAAAAGTGGAGATTGATGACCAGGTTAAAGCGTCCCTCCTTTCCGACTTCTTTCAGTCCGTCTTCACCCGAGAACCTAGTGCTATATTTGCCCATCCATCCATTCGCCAAACAACCTCTCCTCCCAGTACCCTTCCCCATCCTATCCCCTCCCTACCCTCCTTAACCGAGGAACCACTCTTTTCATCTACCATTGTTAGGGCCGAGCTACTCCGGCTGAAACCTGCCAAATCGCCGGGCCCAGATAGAATTCCCGCCCTAGCACTTCGCGAACTTGCTAATGAACTGTGCAAACCCTTATCCGCAATATTTCAAAAGTCATTTGAAGACGGCGAGCTACCGGAAGAATGGAAGTGCGCACTGATTACTCCGATCCATAAAGGAGGCTCAAGACTTGATTGCGGAAAGTACCGTCCTGTCAGTCTTACTTGCATCGCGTGTAAAATAATGGAACGCATTATCAAAAGACACTTGATGAAATACCTGGAACAGAACAAAATATGTTGCGATGCCCAACACGGCTTTCGTCCAGGGCACTCCTGCTTAACGAGTGTTCTTTACTCGCACGAGAAATGGACACGAGCTACCGATAAGGGTTTTCCAGTAGATGTCATATTTTTTGACTTTAAGAAGACCTTTGACAGTGTCCCACACAGGCTTCTTTTACAAAAGATCTGGGATGTAGGGATTCAAGGGAGAATGTTTAAGTGGATCAGGAGTTTTCTGTCCTCCAGACTACAAAGAGTCGTCGTTAGTAATTCTACCTCGGAATGGGTAAAGGTGGAAAGTGGTGTCCCACAGGGTTCTGTCTTAGGCCCAGTACTCTTCCTGATTTATGTTAATGACTGCATCAGCGAAGTGAATTGCGAGGCTCTCATGTTCGCGGATGACATAAAAATATGGAGTGAAGTCAAGTGTGATGATGACGCAGAGAAGTTGCAGTCGAACATCAACAAACTGTGTGCTTGGTCGAACAGATGGCTTTTGAAGTTTAACGTGTCCAAATGCGTGGTTTTGCACCTGAACACCGGCCGCAATGCCTCCCCCAAACACCAGTACTATATTGACGGGACGAGGTTAGAAACTGTAGAAAGACACAGAGATCTGGGTGTATGGACGACCACAAATCTATCGCCATCAGAACACTGCAGAAAGATGGTCCAGAAGGCAACTAGTACTCTACACTGGATCAGACGTGCATTTAAAATATTTCCTCCCGAACTCTTCGAAAGACTCTTTGGTGTCTTCGTAAGACCTCATCTAGAGTATGGAATGCCAGCAGCTTCACCATATATTAGGAAGGATATCAACTTACTCGAACAGGTGCAACGCAGAGCGACAAAGATGGTCGACGGGCTAAAGCATTTATCTTATCAGGAGAGGCTAAATTTGCTTGGCCTATTCCCTCTCTCTTATAGACAAATAAACTGCAGTCTACTCTAGACGTTCCGGATTGTTCGCGGCCAGGGTTGCTCATTAAGAGCAGAGGATTTCTTTGAGTTCGCCCGTGCAAACCAACTACGCGGTCATGCATTCAAAGTCGGGAATGAGCGCACACGTTTAGACCGACGAAAATTTTCATTCAGCCAGCGGGTTGTCAGGCCGTGGAACTCGCTTCCAAGCGAGATGGTGACGGCTGACACAGTTCGTGTGTTTAAAAGAAAACTTGCTCGCCTAGTTTTCGACAGAAGTCGGCTTGTACAGCATGACTATGCAC